CATCAATCCGAAATCATCTGGTTACAGTGAGTTTCTCATCCGCGATTCTACACATTCACTGCTGCTGACATCACTGCGAGGAAGTGGTAACGGAGAGGCAACGTTGGCAGACACCGCTCTTCGTTTGGCGCACCGACCTTTGGTTTTCTTGTCATGGACTGGTCGATGTCTTTCCAATCAGCCCACATGGGGCAGCCAAAGTTTCTCTATGCACGGTCAACCTTGTCACTTCATGTTACTCTAGTAACTTTGCTGCCAGTCTTGCCATCAAGGATCTAGTTTTGTTGCAATGTGTTTGGCATTGCTGCTGTGATGTACTCAAACATTCGTGTGTGTGTATGTGTGTGGTACCTTTCGGTGACAATCCCGGCTTGAACGAGAGTGGCCGATTTGGAATCACATTAGTCTGAATTGTTCATGGCCGCTCTCGCTGTTTGGTTCATCACAAGGACATGTGTTTTTTATATATTCGTTTTCTGGAACTGGGAGGAGGTTTCTCCGGTTAGAAATTGGAACCCAGAAATCCCGGAACAAGGGTTTGTACGGAAATGTCAACGAAGAAGATGAAGAAGACAGCTGACACAACTGGAGTTCACTACTAATGATCTCTCTATTTTTCTGTTAGGTGGTATGGCAATGGTTATTCTTGGTATAGAATACCATTGATACAGATTTCCTTCGATGGTTACATTCTTATATTTGAGATTTCTTTGCTGCAATATTTTGCAAACGATTCTATTGAATTTGAGAATTTTACACTTTCCTATTTTCTTTTTTTCCTTTTTTTGTTTTGTTTTTCTTTTCTTTGCACGTGTTTGTCAAGTACTAATAATAACCAAACCCATTTAACGTTAACTCAAAATTCTCAAATTCAATAGTCCTTATTTCAAAGTTTGGTTGGTCGTTTCCCATGGTTCGGACGTAGAATGTAACCTCCCCTACCCCCCTCTCCCCACCCAGTCACTTATTAATCAGTACCATTTTTTACAGAGTATGTACTAATCAAAATGGTTTATTGTAGGTTGGTACTTGTATCTTATTAAAGTTCTTTTTTACATTTAGGTTCCAGTCATCATTTTTATTTGTAGTTCCTATTTGGCTGGAAGCATTGACATTCGAAAACACCGGCTGTGGAAGCATATCATGAGGGAAGCTGCACCAACTGCTGGTTGTCATCAAGCAGATAACAACCAACACTACCAACTGAGCTCTACCACCATCCTTTGTCCCAATGTTCTCTCTAATGGTTTTCTGTTTTTCCCCCAGATTGTCAGTCATTTGTACCAAGTTGTGTCCTGGTTTTGTTTATATTTTAGGTTGCCATGTTAGATGGAATTTTAAAACGAAGACAAGTGGTCGATCAAGGTCCAACTACGGAGACAACTATCCCAGTCAGGTCCGTGGTCAGGTTTGATTGTTCGGAGAGGCAAGATCTATATCCCGAGAGCAAAGTAGTTGCTGTGATAATATTGGTCGGCTGGCAATCCATTGTGTCGGGGGAATTGCCCCTCCCCTGTCTACTTGCCCCCCAGTAACTACCGTCCTGGTACCAGTAAATGGAAATTTTACACATAGTTTTATCATGGATGTTTTAGTGTGATTTATAGACACAATGGAAATAGTTAAACCCAATTTTAATCAGTCAAAAAGGCTGTTTTAGCGATCTGAAATTTAGCCATTTTTTTTAATGTTTTTTTTAATTTTTTTTATGTTTTTTTTTTAGCTTGATTCAAGAACACAGCTTTATGGATCCACAATCACTGGTCAAAATTTTACGCAACGTTTCGGCATGTTTCTCCTTTCGTCCCCAGGTACATAATGATATAAGGTGATCCATAAAGCTGTGTCTATATATCATTGGTTCACATGATACTCGATCTGGCCCATCGTCAACATAGGCCTACATAAATACATCTGACAGACCAGAACTTGTCCAGTGAACGAGTACCATCTCTATCTCATCTATCCTTAGTCCAGGTCAGTCTACATCATCTCAAACAGTTGAATCTGTGGCGAACTGAATAGGTAGGATTACAACCTCACCCTCACCTGCACTCGCCTCTCTATCGAGTTAGGTTTGTGTTAGGGTGTCATGTTAGGTTTCGTGTTAGGTTTGATAATTCTTTTAGGGGTTGCTGGTCAGCAACATATTTCCGTTGGTGTCTTGTGTACAGATTTCATTGAAACTTGGTAAGACCATGTTAGGGCTAGCGTTAGGGACGTTAGAGAGATGAGTGTAGGAGATGGTAAGGTCCTAATGCAACCAATCCAGCTTCACCGAGATTCTTCTGTTTGAGATGATGTTGATTGACTTGGACTAAGGATAGATGAGATAGAGATGGTACTCGTTCACTTGACAACTTCTTGTTCGTTCCATGTATTCGTGTACGCCAGTGGTTTTCAACCTGTTTTTGTATGTGTGCCCAAGTTGGATACAGTTTCATAACCTGTGACATATCAGATGTCCCGAAAGAAAAGTGCAATTGGTCCAACTTGAGAACACGTCTCTGAGGTTGAAAACCTACGATGTATTTTTATGATGATCGAGTAACCTATATATATATAAACATTATGATTTGATGTCATAATGACAGTCTGATTTATAATATAAGATGTTATAATTAATGAAATCTAGTGACCAAAACCTAGAGAAATATATCTCTTACCTTATTTAAAATGTTTAACTAAAACTATTTTATTTTTGATGTTTTTAGAACGCCAAGTACAACTACACTTGTTTCTTGGCAATTAGTTTTTAACCATTCTCTTTTAAAACCTGTATTTTAGACTATTTCTTACTAAATAACAGTACAAATTACAATAAAATATCATACATACTGCCCCTGTGATGTTAGTATGATTTGGTATATTCCCTGTATTTATGATCCAGTTCATTACTGAGCTTAAAGTTATTATATACATTGGTTATTCATATATACATTGGTTATCAATATTTACATTGGTTATTCATATATACATTGGTTATCAATATTTACATTGGTTATGAATTTTTACATTGGTTTTTAATATATACATTGGTTATCAATTTTTACATTGGTTATCAATTTTTACATTGGTTATCAATTTTTACATTGGTTTTTAATATATACATTGGTTATCAATTTTTACATTGGTTTTTAATATATACATTTGTTATCAATTTTTATATTGGTTTTCAATTTTTATATTGGTTATCAATTTTTACATTGGTTTTACATTGGTTTTTAATATATACATTGGTTATGAATTTTTACATTGGTTTTTAATATATACATTGGTTATCAATTTTTATATTGGTTATCAATTTTTACATTGGTTTTTAAAATATACATTGGTTATCAATTTTTATATTGGTTATCAATTTTTACATTGGTTTTTAAAATATACATTGGTTATCAATTTTTATATTGGTTATCAATTTTTATATTGGTTATCAATTTTTACATTGGTTTTTAATATATACATTGGTTATGAATTTTTACATTGGTTTTTAATATATACATTGGTTATCAATTTTTATATTGGTTATCAATTTTTACATTGGTTATCAATTTTTACATTGGTTATCAATTTTTACATTGGTTATCCATATACATTGGTTATTAATTTTTACATTGATTATCAATTTTTACATTGGTTTTTAATATATACATTGGTTATCAATTTTTACATTGGTTATCAATTTTTACATTGGTTATCAATTTTTACATTGGTTATCAATTTTTACATTGGTTATCCATATACATTGGTTATCCATATACATTGGTTATTAATTTTTACTTTGGTTGTTTATTTTTACATTGGTTATCAATATTTACATTGGTTTTTAATATATACATTGGTTATGAATTTTTACATTGGTTATGAATTTTTAGATTGGTTATCAATTTTTACATTGGTTTTTAATATATACATTGGTTATCAATTTTTACATTGGTTTTTAATATATACATTGGTTATCAATTTTTATATTGGTTATCAATTTTTACATTGGTTATCAATTTTTACATTGGTTATCAATTTTTACATTGGTTTTTAATATATACATTGGTTATCAATTTTTACATTGATTATCAATTTTTACATTGGTTTTCAATATATATATTGGTTATTAATTTTTACATTGGTTATCAATTTTTACATTGGTTATCAATTTTTACATTGGTTATCCATATACATTGGTTATCCATATACATTGGTTATTAATTTTTACTTTGGTTGTTTATTTTTACATTGGTTATCAATATTTACATTGGTTTTTAATATATACATTGGTTATGAATTTTTACATTGGTTATGAATTTTTAGATTGGTTATCAATTTTTACATTGGTTTTTAATATATACATTGGTTATCAATTTTTACATTGGTTTTTAATATATACATTGGTTATCAATTTTTATATTGGTTATCAATTTTTACATTGGTTATCAATTTTTACATTGGTTTTTAATATATACATTGGTTATCAATTTTTACATTGATTATCAATTTTTACATTGGTTTTCAATATATATATTGGTTATTAATTTTTACATTGGTTATTAATTTTTACATTGGTTATCAATTTTTACATTGGTTATCAATTTTTACATTGGTTTTTAATATATACATTGGTTATCCATATATACATTGGTTATTATTTACATTTGTTATCTATTTACATTCGTTGATAACTACATTCGTCTTTGGTTTGCATTTTATTTATTTATTTATTAATTTTATTTGTCTGGTAGGTTTGTTGTTGGCCAACACAATATGTCAGATGATTTAGGTATGGTGTGTTTTTGACAATCATAATTTTTAGTATTAACATCTACAATCATCTTCACCAATATATTTCTGGTAATTTGGGAATATCAGTTGTAATTATGTATAAAAACTGTAATTTGTACGTCATACTATAAAACTATCATTGGTTCTTGTGTTATTCTTGGAAAATATGAAATTAAAAGACCCCCCCCCCCCCCTCACCATGGTCTCTAGCGTATGGTCTGTCTATGGTGTCGAAACGTGCTTCATTTTGTTTTAACCCTGGACGACAATCTATAAATCCTCAGATACTAATTAGGATTAAAGTTTCGTCAAACTCTGTATGCCCCTTGCAATAACGACCCTCTCCTCATTCCTCTCGTCTCTTAACATATAGACGAAGCTAGCATGGAAATGGTATGGGGGTGAGCACTATAGAATTCGGGCACGTTCAATTTTTCTCCTGTTCGTTCGTTCGTTCTTTATTGCTCAATTAGCTCTTCTCCGAGCTGCCAGAAATTCCGCGCCTCCTGACGCGGGGTAATCAAACTTCAACTTACTAAGGTAAGCTCGTTGTGAGGAGAAGTGCATTATTTTGATTATATATCAAATTTTTAATTTTTGGGGTTGGTAAATTTGACACATAAAAAATGATTAACAAATATTAATAAAAATATAATTAAATATATTTGAAAAATGAGGAAAACTCTTGAATATTTTTGTATTTTTTCTTAATTACTATTAATATGAAATTTTTGAATTAGAGGAAAGAATCACAAATTTTTAATAAATTGGGGAGTTTTGCCTTACCTCCCTTGTTTTGATTTACTCAAATTTGAGTAGATTGAATATTGATCATCTTGATTTAACCATTTTACCACAATTTAATTAAAAACAACCATCGTTCATCACTTTTTTTTAAGGCAAACATCATAAGAACTTTTTTTCATACGTTTCTACTAATTATACATTTTGACGTAAATCGCTTTCCATAAAAAATAATGCTTAGAGTAAACCTGAATTCCATTGTTCTGTAAACCGTATTTTTCTAAGATTTCTTTTCCCCTAAATAACCTAAAATAAAACAGCCTAAAGAAACAATTGTGCAAAAAGCATTAAATTTAACACTGAAACTTGTTGACGTATATTTTGCTGGCAACTGCTTTCCATAAAGTTACAGACTACAGTTAAATTCTTGAATAAGATTTCTTTTTAAATCGAGTTTTCTCCCTTGGACCGTCTCTCGCAAACGAATCAAATCTTACATCACGTGATCAATATTGTTCAAAATGGCAGACTTGGAATCGATTTTGTTGATGAAAGCTAAGGTTTGTTGAGCTATCTGATGTATCTATAAGTAGATAATCATGGTAATCCAAGACGTGTAGCGATTGTTTGAAGATTTGATCATCTTGTTGAAAAGACAAGATAATCCTCTAGTGTTCCTACTTTGCTAGAAAAAGAAACGAAAGTGGAAAGCTGTTTTCATGTTTTTGACCATAATAGCAGCCGACGTTATTGGATTGGCATTGGAAATGAATTTTTGGATGACATTGCAATTACTTTCAAGTAGATGGATTGAGAAAGTGCAAATATCCAAACAATGGAGGACAAAATTATGGACGAAAACATGCTACAACTCAAAATAGAGCCAAAAAATGGAGAAAGCAAGACAAAAACTGGGATCACAAAAGTTCCTCTTATGAAAGTTGAATTGTGTGAAGCCTCAACTATGACAGATTTGGATAAGCCTAGTGATGGAAATGACCACTTTAAGTCCAAAAATTCCACTTCTATATGGGACTTTGAAACCCTTGGTGAGCAGAATGTAAATGAACTGGGTGATCCAAACTCAACTGATCTAGTAGACTCGAGTGTCCATGAGATTCCATTTGCTTTATCAGATTCTCAAAATGGGGTAAAGCATGGGGGAGAAATAACTTCGTCTTCGACTAGTGCTAGACTTGATCATCAAGACTTAAATGGTATACCACATTTAGCTTTAACGGTGCCAAATGCAGTAGAACTTGAGGTTAACTCAGCTTCGAATAGTGATAATCTTGATCATCAAGACTTAAATGATATAACTCATTTAGCATTAAAGGTGCCGAACAACTCGGCCAATATCTACAAATGTCACGTCTGTGGTAAGGCATTTAGTTATTTGAGTAGTCTTGGTCGTCATGTAAAGATACATGCAGTGGATATTAACTATAATTGTGACCAGTGCTTACGACAATTTTCCAAAGAATCAGATTTAAAACGCCATCAGGGAGTTCATTTGGCTGATAAAGAATTTATTTGTGGTCTGTGTAACAAATCGTTCAATAGAGACAAATATTTGATAAAACACATGATCATCCATCAAAGACGATATAAATGTGAACATTGTGATAAATCATTTGCTAGTTCATGTCATTTAGATTCACATGTTCGAATTCATACTGGAGAGAAACCCTATAACTGTGATGTTTGTAGTAAATCTTTTGCATTAAGAAGTCATTTGTTGACTCATATTGTAGTTCATACAGGAGAAAAACCTTACAGCTGTCCAGCTTGTCAAAAACGTTTCGCGGATCGTAGCACGATGGGCCGCCATTTTAAAAGTCATAATGGTAATACTGAATATCGATGCCCACATTGTGAGAAAACGTACAGAGACAGAAGTAATTTGAAAAGACATATGAAAAATCACGGCACTGGAGAACGGAAATATTCTTGTGAATTGTGTCAAAAGTCTTTCATGGAAAATTTTCAGCTGATCCGCCATTTAAAAATGCATGAAAGATTGAAAAAAACGGGTAAAAAGCTTCGAAAATTGTGAAATTAATTCAAACTTATGTTATGTTATATGAAATGAATGGGATTGAAAAATAAATTCTATTGAAATCAAAGTTTTTTTTGTTTTTTGAAAGGGGATGATGAAGACAGGGAATGGAGTAGGCTAGGGGAGTGACTCATAATAATCCCTTTTAATGCACTTCCAGTCAAATCCACAAGGGCTTGGCATTGGGCATTTTAAAATTGAATTTCTACAGCGTCTGCACGGCAGGCTTTTGCAGGAATTAATTTGCAAATGTGGTCTCTCCTCAGTAGGAATCCAAATGCAACGTTTATAATAACCATTCGTTGACATTCCATAACCTATTATAAGATGCTTATATGGGTGGAATAAATAACATACGGTGTAAGCCATTTTATCGATCTATATTTAACTTGAATTAACCTGCACCGTCCTATGTTTTTGTTAGTGAGACCATCATGGTTGACCAAACTTATTTTAGAAAGTTTTCCGAAGTTTTCCAAGCTTAAAAGTTACTGTAAGTATGAATTGTGTATTAAAAACGATTGCAAATTGAAGAAAAATGATTAAAATTTGAATCGAAGGCAACTTTAGAAGTGTAACTCATGGGATTCAATGGTCGGACAGTTCGGGTCCTACTAAAGTCAATATTGGTCAACGTGTCAGCTGACAAGCCAACCGTTACGTTCTACTGACTAGCCCTTGGACCTGTTTACTATATTTTTTACTTATATCTATATACCTATCTACTAGTGAGTCATATCTATCACTTTTACATTGACCTTATTAAGATCTACTAGTAGACTTAAGCATAGAGGAGGCTTTGACATAAGAATTTCACTTAATTAGCCCCTTTTCTCTCAGTTTCACAATTTTTAAAGTTTTTGCATTCATTGTACATCAATATTAGCTTGACAATATGCTTAACTTTTTTTTAATTTTTCAGATTAAAGATGGCTGACACAGAGTTCAAGATGGTCGGTGAACTAGAAGATGAAGAAGATGATGATGATATTGAATTTGTCTTGATAGAATTATCAGATGATGAAGAAATTCAGAAATCAGACATTTCATCTGATGATGCTCCCAAACTGATAAACCCATCAGCTTCTATTTTCCAACAGGAAGGATCACTAAAACATGGCTTAACGCCTGAAAATAATGCCATGGAAGGTACCACCAATCTTCAGACTAAAGAAACTTTTGGAATTCCTCAAGAAAGTCCAAAAATTACTTTCGATTCATTGTTGGAAGAGGAAGAGGAAAATGACGCATCAAAATCCACAAAGACGTCTGATGCCCAACAAATAGTTTCTGTAGAAAGAGATATGCCTGAAAGTCCAACCCTCGATAAAAACATTTCCAACAAGTCGACAAATTCACAATCAAACATTGGAAACCAAGATAAAATGGAAATTGAAAACCCAATTACAGTTGCATCTCCAGTTATTGAAGACTCTCTAATGGCAGAAAATGATGACGTCTGCTCTCAACCAAGCAGCAGTATCAACCAATCAAATCAATTGAGTCCAACTATGGAATGGGAGTCAGAAAGTTTGTTCAGTTTGGATGATTCAAGGGAAACGATTCCTGATGATCATTCCCTCCAAAATTTGTCCCCTGGAATTCCATGTCAGGACCCTACTACCTCAACTTCTCAGCTTTCTGACACCATTGTTGCTAAGTTAGTTTCATCTACCTCAAATCTTGACAAACATCAGTGTTCTTCATTCTCTACCTCATCATTAATAGGGCAAATTCAGCAACCTTCCATGGACCATAACTCTATGCAGACTTCAGACCTCATACAGCAACCTTCAAATGACAGTAACTCTTTGCATACTTCAAACGAAACACAGCAGACGTCTTCCAAGGACCATAACTCTTCAAATGCCCTAGACTTCTCAGCCCAGACAATTGAGATAAAAATCAAACAAGAGCCAATGGATGGGGAGGAAATGCAAATGGCTGACAAAGATGCTGAAAAGAAGGTCAAGCGGCACAAAAAGAAGAAACACAAAAACAAAGATAAATCTGAAGAGGACAATCTCAAAAGTAAAGATGGAGCCCAAAAGAAAAAGAAGAAAAGAAAACAAAGCCTCGAAGATTCTGATGATCTTGGTGGAGAAGATAACAGGAAAAAGAAAAAACATAAAAAGGACAAGAAAAAATCAAAGATGGCTGACATCAGGCTGATAACTATCAAACAGGAAGTGACTGACATTGATCGTGATGACATCACATCTGATACAGCTGTTGCCATGGAAACACTTCCTGATTTGGTACCAGCCAATGAGGTATTGAGTCCAGTCCCTGATAATTGTTTCGTCAGACTAGAGCCTCTACCAGATGATATCATCACTAATTTTAATAAGAACTATTTTGATTTGATTAAACCAGAACCGGAATGCGAAGATGAGGAAGTTCCACTGAAAAAGGTTGAGAAAGATGGCAAATCAAAGTCCAAGCCCAAAAACCACAACTCACTTAAACCCTTGCAAGAACCGGATGAAATCAAGCCTCATCGATGTAGAAAATGCGGTCTGCTGTTCACAAATCGCATCAAGTTAGACAATCATCTCAATTTTCATTTTGGAATTTCCAAACGAAAGTGTGAATTTTGTTTGAAAACTCTTCACAATCAGGCGTCTTTGAATGCCCATTTGGCAGTACACATTGGGAAAAATGCCACGCTACCACAATGTGATATCTGTTTTTCAAAATTCGATTCAGCAGATGAGTTGATGGATCATCGAGAGACTCATGGACCCAACCCTTATGAATGTGATCACTGTAGTAAATCATTTAGTTGTAATTCTAGTCTACAGCAACATCGTCAGGGTCATGGTGAAAAGCTGTTCAGTTGTGACATTTGTCAGATGAAATTCGCTACTCAGGGAAAATTGACGCAACATGGACATGTTCATTCTGATATCTTTCCATTTAAATGTTCCACTTGTCCGAATAAATATAAATATAAACATAGCCTGGACATTCATGAGAGTACTCATGAAAACAATACTTTTATATGTATAGTTTGTTCTAAAGATTTTAAACAAGAGTCCAGTCTTCATCAACACATGTGCATCCATCTTGGAACAACGCCATTCCAATGTGAAGTATGTAACCACATTGCGAACAGTTTTTCTGATCTTAAAAAACATCTACGGAAACATACTGGAGAAAAACCTTTTAAATGTGACGTCTGTGGTAAGAAGTTCTCATCGTCCAGTAGTCTTCATACTCACATTAAGACGCATGATAATCCAGTCTACCCGTGCAAAGAATGTGACAAGACTTTTACATCCAGGTATCGTTTGAACGCACATCTGAAGATACACACCGGAGAGACTAATGTACATTGTGACGTCTGCGATAAATCTTTTAGTTCCAAAAGAAGCCTGGAATGTCATCAAAGGTACCACAAAAATGACGACAGCTTCAAATGCTCAGTTTGTGGTAAAATTTGCGGCACCAATTCTCAATTACAGAGTCATTTTAAAATGCATTCAGATGTACGCACTCATCAATGTACATACTGTCAAAAATGGTTTCGCGACGCCCGAGACTTGACAATTCATATTCGTATTCACACTGGAGAGAAACCGTTTAAATGTGATGTTTGTGAGAGAAAATTTACTCAGAGAGCAGCCTTAAAAAAACACAAAATGACTCACGACGGAACAAAGAACTTCACTTGTGATGTTTGTAGTAAATCATTTGTTCAGAAAGTTTCCCTGCAGTATCACTATAGAATACATACTGGAGAGAAACCATTCCAATGTGATATCTGTCATAAATCATTTCAGAGACGATACTGTCTGAATCTTCATATTGATGCTACCCACAAGAAAGAGGTGAAATTTAAATGTACTGTGTGTGATAAACCATATTATACTCGTTCCAACTGGAGAACACACGAACAGAAATGTCTAAAAGAAGCAGGAAAGATGAAGAAGGAAGAGAAAATAGTGAAAGAAGATTCAGAAGAAGAATCAGAATAATTGTTTGATTTTAAAAAAGAAATAAAACAGACTGTTCTTGTATATTTTTGTGGGGGGAACCATTGGTGACTCAGTGAGTTAGCCTATTGCTTGCTTACCTGAAGGTCCAGGGTTCGATCCCGGCATAAGTTGAGGTGATACCTTCGGATTTTTCAACCCAGTTCCCCTTGTCAGTGACATTTCCCGTTTTCTTTTTACTATGAAATTTTGATGTTGACATTTATTTAGATATTTTAGTAAGATATTATTTCTATATTCAATTTAATTTGGATAACTTTTGAATGAACTGAAAACAGTTTATTAATCCTACAATTTGATTGGTCAATTAATGTGATTTGACCAATGAATTTAATGCATTGTTATTCTAAGTGTAATAAAAATGTTTTGATATTGAACTACTTTACAATCACTCTCCTTTTTTAAGAAACCAAAATTAGTTTATGAATGCTCTAATCTGATTGGACAATGAGTTTAGATTGACCAATCAGATGAATGAATTGATAAACTGAATACAACAATAGACTGTATTATAATGCACCTCTTTTCTCTATAATAATAGCATAAGAAAAGAAGAAAGAGTTTTGTTATGTGAAAGAAAAGTAAAATGGTTCTATTCAATACCTCTCTTGACAACAAATCATTTCTATTTTTCAAACAAAATATGTTAAAGATACCCCCTTTAGTTTTCTTAGATAGAAAAAAAGAACCAATTTTACAAGGATAGCAACTTAGGTTCACAAGGATCCTGTCTTCCAGCTGGTCCTTGACCAAACCTCTTGGCATTAATCTTTCCTGGATTATCCGTACCCATTTATGGCTAAGTCACCTGGAATAATGAGAAAATATGACTCATTCAGTAACCATATACAGCTGGGTTAACTGGAATAATGAGGAAAGTTGACTTATTTAATGTTATCCAACTTTCATATTGTCTTAACTCTTAATTTAAGAATCAAACTTTATTTGAATCTTTATTGGTTAACAAATTTATTTCAATTTTTTGCCAAAATTTTGGCCAATTTCTGGGGTAGTCTCTTTAAAATGTTAACGTCATTGATATTGTGTGGTGAATTTCTCAACGACATATAATATCATACTATTCTATTCCGTCTTATGTCCGAACTTTAAAAATGTGAGATGTAAAATTGTATGCACAAGGATGTAAGGAAACTGAAAAATAAGGATTTAATTCGGTCTGTTTTTATCCTGTTATGATAAAGTTTTCCATGATGGATTTCGTTGAATTCAGAAATGTTTTAAAGATTATATTTGTTAGCTGTTTATTTGTGGGAATTAGCCAAGGGGTAGGTGAATAGCCTAATGGCTACTTTTGTTATTTCTTTTTCTTGAATTTCTTAACTTATTTGAAGTCTTTAAGGAATAGTTTTTGTATATTGCTCTATGAATGACCAGTTAATTTTCTTATGTTGATACATGTTTTGGATATCATATCCTCATCAGGACATATTAAATTGCAATGAATGGGGACTTTCATATAAGCAAGAAGTAAAGAGGATAATCAAAACTAATTTGAACTCCATTTCCTTTCATAAATTAGAAATAAACTTCAACTAGATTGTAAAAACTTCCATTTCATTTCATTTTACATGAGCCTAAATGTCAAAGTTCATTTCATTTGACTAAAACTCAATTTCCTATCAAATTTCTATTTGCAGTTTACCATTAGTTTAGTTCCATCCAATACATTTATAGTAGAAACTCAGTCTACTGATCTGTTGATGTCTACTGTGGGTGAAAGTGAAGGAATCGCTGAAGTTAATGGGAGCCTAACCTGTCAAATTAGCAAAACTGAGGTTTTGTTGACCAATGGGCAAAGTTCAACCACGTTTGGTTCCCCCTTTTCTATCGGCTCAGGTGATACTGGTATAAATTCTGGAACACTCTTCTTCAACACTTTTGGTAAGTTTCAGGATTCTTAAGTTTATAAAGCTGAATTTATAAGTTGATAAAGCTGAATTTATAAGTTTATAAAGCTGAATTTCAGCTATCTCTATCTCTTTCCAGATTACAATTTAGATAGCTGGTTACTCCTCAATTTAATGAATATGCAAATGAACATCATGTTGAATACACAGATGATTAGTCATATCTTTTATATTCTTTTTTCGTTGCTAGGTAACAATGTATTTTTTAACGCTGACAGTCCATTCAAACTCTCGTTTCCACGGTACCAAGTCTTTGTTACCTGTAAAGACTCCAATGGAGTGTCAGAAGAAGCTCCTATACCTTCTGTTTTAATTACTGTATTGTCCAATCGAAAACCTTCATTTGCAAGTCCTATTGGTAAGCCACATTTCATTATCCAATCAAAACTGCTTGTTTTTAAAATCAAATTAATCGAAAATATGATTATGTTGATTTGCTCTATTTTCTAGACATGCTCAAATGACCAAGGATCACTACTATCCTTTGCCAGACATCAATTATCCAATCCAAATCCTTCATTCGAAAATCTTTCATGTCATTATCCAATCAAAACTCTGCATTTGAAAATCGCTTTTGCTGTTTCCACTTAGCAGAACAATATGGGTGTTTGAAAGAAGCCAAGTCATGCACCTAGAGCTATCTCTGAAGATTTAAAGCATGATATCTTTCTATTACAGTAAAGCAAGTTATTAATGTTGGTTTAAACGCATCAGCACTGCCAAATTCCCTCCAATATAATATAACAGCTAATGTGATCAATGACCAAGCAACTGATGTATTATCCTTCTCTGTCAGAAACACGGAGCCTAAAGTGGATTATTTTGACGTCAATGAGGGTAAGATCAGTGGTGTCTCTGCCGATGAAGCTTCCAGAACAGATGCTGGTCAGCTTTGTGCCTCAGTCTCAAATTTCTTTCCAACAATTGCCTGTGAGTTAGCCCTCTGTGGTCCAACAAGTGCCCATCTAGCCCTCACCTACTCCTCACCTACACATAATGATTCATAGTGTCCACAATGCTGCTAATGTGTCAATCTCTTACAGCTACTGGTATAGTGACCAATAAAATAGATCTAAGAACAGCCACAGTTTCTCCTATAGAGTTAACCATTGATGTCAGTGATGGCTTTAATTCAGCTGAAAGATCATTAACCCTTGAATTTGAACTCCTTAGTAAGTAACCACATACTGTATAATTGCGACTACAGTGCGCACCTTTTATAACGCGCACCCCATCATTGCTTCAGAATATTAAGACAAATACTTATTTCATTTGCTAGTAGCTTTATTTTGTTACTAATTGTACAGAGTAGTAGCATGAAAATTTTCCATTTAAGCAAAAAGTACAGAGCATAGAGGGCTCTGTAAGCTCAATATGTACAGAGCATGGAGGGCTCTGTAAGCTCAATATGTACAGAGCATAGAGGGCTCTGTAAGCTCAATATGTACAGAGTATGAAGTAAATCTCCATTTTTGTTACTACTTTCAGACATGAATCAACGCCCAGATATTGTCGGCTTACCAGCAACACTTAATGTAGATGAGGACACCCAGACTTTAAGATTAGTTGATTTATCTGTGACTGATGAAGGTGTACCATTAAACAACGTCAAGCCAGATTGTATCGTTACACCGACTGGTGGCACAGATGTATTTGACTTTGGTAAGTGTTACTGGGAAAATGAGGCCATTAAAGAGATTGTAAAGAGGTTTTCTAAACTTTTTATGTGTATCTGGAACACTGGAAGTATCGATCCATTCCTTTCAAATTTTCAGTCAAGAAGCCTGATTGGTTGATGTTGAAGTAACAGTGACCAATCAGATTTCAACAAATTAATCAAAGATTGCCAATAGTGTCTTGTATTTGCCTTTCAGTAACAAGACCGATATCTTTAAAACCAAGAGGAACTCGCTTTGGACGTACATTTCTGGACTTCGAAACAACACCAAAGTATATCATAACTTGTACTGTATCTGATGGATTCCTCACCTCTCAGGGGGAAGTTCTCACTGTTAATGTGAACAATGTTAATGAAGCACCAATCTTCAGGGAAACTCTGTTTTATTGTACCATGGATGAATCTATGGTGAGTTGATTGAGCTTCAATTTTCTTTATTCCAAGAGTATTGTGGTCATTTATGGATGCAATCGTATTTTTGCTGGATAACAGTTTAAGGTACCCTCACACCAGTTGTGTATGGTTGTGAATAAGAACAACTCAGTTACATGAGAGTTGCGTTCGAAGCTTATGACCTCCTTGCTTATTCGCAACCGTACCAATCAATGCACTTGACATGATGAGTTTCTCTTTTTTTCAGGCAGGAGAATCAGCATGTAATTTAGGATTTAATATAAAAGATCCAGAAGGTAACCAGTTTATAACCAGGTTATTTCAAGATGATAATAGTAACCGATTTGCCCTGACCTCAACCTCTAACAATCTGAATAATGATTTCTTCGGTGAAAATGATCGATTGACCTTCAATACTAATTATGATGTAGACGAGGGGCGCATGCCAAGTCGGGTGAGTTTTGGTTTTAACTTTCCTATTTGTGTGGCTCAAGGCGGAGTATGCTTACTCTTCTAGACACCTGATACCACTCTTCATTGTGATATACTTCCACATTTATGATTTATATATATGAAAAGCAAAAGCAACTGTAATTTTGGATTTTGGCTTTCGTTTTGCAGATGAGATTATTAATACTTGGGGCTTTTAGTTTATTGATGATAAAAATGGGGGACATGATAGTCCAGGTCTGTTTTTGGTGACGATCGTGCAAGGATTATGACTCTATTTTTAGGTGACCCTGTTTGTGAATGCTATAGATGAGTTTGGTGCTACAGGTACAGCTACTATTAGTGTGGTTGTAAGAGATGTCAATGACAACACTCCAGAGTTTGATCTGATTAATACTGCTATAGAGGTTGACTATTCTACCAATACTGGTGAGAGCTCTCCTATTTTAGAAAGTACTTTTAGTGTCCTTTGAGGATTACCTACCCTTCCCTGTAAATGTCTGTTCAGAACTCTTGAAGCTAGCGTCATCCTGGTTCTAGGTAACACGAAGCATTAGGTGGTATGATAGCTAGTAGCAAGCATCTCTGTGCCTGTTCCCCCATCAAATGAGACCTCCACCCCACCCTACCCTAAAATTTGTCCATTTTTCTCCTGATGCTAACAGATATCAAATGATTATTTGTAGGTTTATTAGGTGTGATAAGAGCCAGTGATGATGATGATGGTACCAATGGTGAACTAGACTATAGATTAGTCAGTGTGGTACCACCCAACGCCATCAACTATGTTTCTATATTAGGTATGGCTTGATATTCTTTATTGGGATTTTGTCCAGGGTTTGATCCTTCACATATGTATTTTGCTGAGAGCTACAGTGACTCACTGAGTCATTGCTTGTGAGGTCTTGGGCTTGATAGGATCTGTTAATTTTGGACGAGTCATGACCCATCAAAGATCCTTGGATATGGATACAAAACCTTTTCATATTTTATGCCATTACTGGTTTTTACTAGCCCATTAAGTTGTTAAAAGTAAAAACAGTGAGCAGATGGAAGTGGCTGAAGTAATTTTGTTGCGTGTGTTTCAGGGAATGGAGATATACAGTATATACGACAATATCCAGACAGCTTGGCCGGTTCTAGCGTTTATTTATCAGTGGAAGCCAAAGATCGTGGTACACCAGCTAAATCATCAACTGGTACTGTAGTTGTATCTCTAATAGCAACCACTACTACATCCACTACACCATTACCCACGACAACGACCACTATCTCCACTACAACCTTAACAACAACAACTGAGGCGGAATTCTTTGATAAATCAGAAAACGTTGCTATATTTGCAGTACTGATGGTATTACTATTGCTGTTGCTATTATTAGCATTATATTTTTGTTTTCGGTGGTGTATAACAGGAAGTTGTACTGGGGGTAGCCCTGGAGGAGGAGGAGGTGGTATGTGTGACTGTTGTCAACCAGCAGCGCCACCACCAAGACGAGTCACTCCTATAGTGTATGAGGAATTGTAAGTATGAAATATTGCTTAAACCTTTTGAATTTTTTTGCTGCTACTGGCAAGTTTGGTTTTGAATTATTTTGCTTATCTGTACAGGTTTTTTTCAATGCAGAGTCAACTATTAGGAACTTCCTACTTATACCTTGACTGCAATAGCCACTTTGTCTAGACTTCCGTGTAGGCCACTAGCCTACAATCTATGTTGAAGCTGTAATTAAGTCTGTATTTTGTTTTGATTTCAGTCCTCCAGTTACGTCTGGGGATTATAAAGGAGATTTCTGGAGATCAGGTGAGACCATTTTACTCAAAGATATATAGAGTTGTCTAATTCTGAGGATGGACTGTAGCTCAGTAGATAAGAGAGTTAGAGTCTTGACATCATTTGCTCAAATACTTCAAACAAATGGTGATATTTTCCTCAAGTTCTAGTTGAACCAGCCGAAATTTGGTACGAATTATTAGTGCTGGGTATTGCCAATCATGCGATACATATTGAGATACAAGGATCATGATATGATATGTATTGCAATACAAGAGTCACAATTTGATATATATCATGATATTGGGTAATTGGATAAGAAATAACGCTGTACTTCAAAGTTTCAATATTTATTAACTTAAATAAAATAATTCTGATAATTTAGGATCCTTTTTAAAGTATCAGAACTTTGTTTTATTTTAGGTGATTATTATGAAAGTGGAAGACCATTTTAAAGATGTTAAATACTGACTGAACATATCAACTGATATTCAGAGCTCTACTTTGTATTCAACCACAAATAAAGGACAGATACAACTCTACTGTGATATTCTTATTCATCTTCTCAATGTCTAGTTGTTATTAACTGTGTACTTATACCTTGACTACAATAGCCACATTTCTTGTTTCATGGGTGCTACAACAGCGATTTGATTGGATTGTATGTTGGCATTTAAAGCCAATCAGAGTCCTCGATAGAAAGTCTGTAAAGCATAATGTTTACAGTATGTCTGTCGAGGGCTCTGTTTGGCTGTATTCTCTGGAAAACAATCCAATCAAATGGCTGCATTCTGTTCCACTAGAATAGTGTCTATTCTAATCAAGGTATAAGACACAGTTGTCTGACATTGTGAAGATGATTCTTACCATGATTATTTGTATATATTTGTATAATTTTTGTACAACTTTGTATATTAAATTTTTTTATTTCAATTCTGTTTACATTTTCTCGTCTCCCATAATCAGCCAAAATCCTTCATGCTGGTCAATATGAGCTCCACTTTTAGGAATTACAGGTTGTACCATTGTGGCTAAGCATTGCTACAAAAGCACAGACACAGGCATGTAAGCCATTGTTTGTCCAGTTAGTTAACTTTTAGGTTTAGTGCGAATAAAAAATTCAATATGGTCATGGCAACAATAAAAATCATTGCCCCTTCAGATATATTAATTCCGGAACAATGGAGTCTGACGACAGGCTGGGTTGATTTTTTTCCAATGTTATTGTCAAATTTCTCCACTTCCTTCATCTACTGCAGAATCACTGAGCATTTGATGACAAGATGGATCATTTTGACATTGTGGTCCACACCAGATAGATCCACAACATGTACAAGCAATGTCATGAAACCAGCACAAGATAGAAGCAAATTTACAACATCCCGGATAATTACCACAACACCCGGTCTGACCAGCTCTTAATCCCCACCCATACGGGTAATCCTTTATACTACACTCTGATTTTTCATTGGTTAAACGCCTGAAATGAAACAATTTCATTGTTTGTTGAATACTTAATAAATCTCTGATTAAAGATTGGGAGGGGGGTGGTGAAGCAAGCCAATTAGTTCTCAAATGTTTACCATAAGGCTTAAAAGTCACGCTCTCTGACTAACTGGGCTATACCCCTCACCCCTTTGAATATCAAATAGAAATGGCAAATTGAAGTAGGATTCACAAGTAAAACACTATTGCACTTACTGAAGAGTGGTTGGTGTATCTTTACAAGGGGCTTTATACTGCCATACTGTATCAGTTTTAGTAGGCATAGTACTTGTTGTTATACTAGTAGTTTTTGTTGTTATACTAGTAGTTTTTGTTGTTATACTAGTAGGCTTTACTGTTGTATAAATAGTTTTTGTTGTTGAGTCAGTAGTAGTTGAACTAGAAGTGTTTGTTGTAGGACTAGTAATGTTTGTTGTTAATCTAGTAGGTTTTGTTGTTGCTTTTGTTGTTAAACCAGTATNTGTTTGTTGTAAGACGAGTAGTGTTTGTTGTTAAACCCAGTAGTGTTTGTTGTTGTATTAGTAATTTTTGCTGCTGAACTAGTAGTGTTTGTTGTTGAGTTGGTAATAGTAATTGGTATAGTAATTTTTGCTGCTGAACTAGTAGTGTTTGTTGTTGAGTTGGTAATAGTAATTTTTGCTGTTGAACTAGTAGTGTTTGTTGTATAGGTAGTTAAGCTACAATTTTGACCATCACATAAATCTCTTTTCTCTCTGTGTCTAACTCTTATCATTAAATCATCCAATAAAATCTTACTGCTCCTGGGAACTGAAACAACCAATAATCTTATTAAGTGATGTGAACTCTCTAATGACAAACACTATTACTCTCTTTCTGTGACTAAATTTATTTACTACAGACATAACACTCAGTGATTTACTACAGACATCACACTAAATGATTTACTACAGACATCACACTAAATGATTTACTACAGACATCACACTAAATGATTTACTACAGACATCACACTCAATGATTTACTACAGACATCACACTAAATTTATTTACTACAGACATCACACTAAATGATTTACTACAGACATCACACTAAATGATTTACTACAGACATCATCTTAAGAAATAAATAAATGGACTTTTAAATCCTACTTGTCTGCACCTGATTGATCTAGACAAGCAATGCCTTGCTGTGTACCATGTGGTAATGAAATATAATAAAGAAATTAACTAACCATGTCTGGCTTGAATTAAAAAGATGACTGGAACGGTAAACAACAGTACAATAAAAACATGAAATTCCTTCTGCCTCATTCTAAAACAGTCTTATTTGAATTCTTCCATCACATTCCTGATGCTGGTTACATATCTAAAATGTGCATTTAAACAACACTATCATTTACCACTTTTTTTTTAATTCTTTGTCCTTTAAGAATGAATGTTCAACACTTTTGGATGTCAACTTTAAAACTGCATTACAAAAAATAGTTCCGTATAACAATTGAAGAAATGTGTATATCAAAGTTTCCACTTTTTTTCTCTGTAAATTTTTTTATATATCAGACTCAATGAGCTATTTGTATATAAATTTAAAATATTCTGTTAAAACTATCAATTTATACTCCAAACCTTCACTTATCTTGTAGTTTTCAAGTTTATTTTAGAAAATTAGGATTTTTGCCAAAAATGTGTCGAATAAGTTAAGATTGTTTTACGTTATTGCATGTTAAACATTTTGACATGCACTTCAAGTTGCCAACAGATACAACAAATTCATTTTTTTCTGTCTATTTCTTTTATTTCATCTTTCAATATGTAAGTTTTTGAGAGGGTGTGGGGTTCTGAAGGAGGAGACAAAAGAGGCTGACCTCTTTTTCTAACAATTGAGAAGGTGGGTGGGAGGGGGTTAATTCTTTTTCTTGTGAATTCCACAAATTAATAGATACATTCTCGTAGTTTGGCCAATTGAATACTTACGTTATAAGCATATAAAGCATCACTTACATTATTATTATTATTATTATTATTTGTTGCGTAACGTCTCGGTAAAAAAAAATTCTGTAGTACAAAACGTCTTAGACCGTTACGAAACGTCTTTGACCAAACCGGAAGTTGCTATTTCATCTGCTAGAAATTTTGATGTAAGTAAACATTTAGTGTTTGTTTATTTATTTATTAGATTAATCATTATCGTTAATGATTTCGAGAAACTGCATTAGGTCTATAGGATGTCGGTGCTAAAATTTGAACTTACAGGCAATGTGCTGCGTTGTTAATGACGGACAGAGGAGGAGTGGAGGGGAGGGGCAATGCCGGTGCAGGCTGGAGACTGGAGTCTCTAGTGATGCTACTATTTTACTGATGCACTCTTCATAACTGCACTCTTCTTATTTTTCTATCAATATTACATGCAAAAGGTGGAGTATTCTCCCAGTTAATGACAGGGCCAGGGGCAAGACTTGATGCAAAGTCACCATTATATTCACTTCAGTTGAATATTACTAAACCAAATTTTATTTTTGTATTCAGAATTGTTTGATTATCCATGCCAAGAAGCTGTCAAGTTTGTGAATGGAAATCTATAAGCTCTAAAAGTAAAGTAGTCTGCTGTTTTGAACTGTTCCTGCTAGGATATGGCCTCTTATTGTGATATCTGCAGTGTGCAACTGAACTGTATGAAACAGTTTTCACAACATACAGAAGGGAAAGCTCATAAGAAAAAACTGGCTCAATTAGGTAATAACCTTATTACAAATCTTATCTTACAAAAACACTCATGATGAGGTTCATTGACATGATCCTCCAAAAGGGCTGTCTTATTATTCACTTCGAGTTTTTGAAACATCAAATATGAGGCTCAGGTCTTTTGAAAAGATTACGATGTCAGTTTTCGAAGGTTTTTTTTATTATCTTTTTAGTTGGTAGTGTTAGTAAACCAAAAATAGAATTTGTACCAGAAGGACAGCTACAGGTTAGTATAGTATTTAATATTAGAGAGTAAAATATGGTGGGGGGTGGGGGGAGGGAATAAATGTGGGGTAACAGTACAGTTAGGAATAGTCAAATGGATGCTATCAGTGTAACACATAAAAAGTCAACAAAACCTCTTTACAATCCCTTACAATATTTTTTTATTTCAGTCAGTTGATCCTAATAAAGTTGAAGATCAGAGCTATCAGTCAGGTTCTCTGAAATTCAACATCCAACCACAGACAAGAATATCTGAAGACTGGTCACAAGTCAAGTTCTGTTACCTATGTAACAAAGCTTTAAATTCAGCACACCAAGCAGAACAACATTTCTCTAGTGTTAAACATCTTAAACGTACTGCACAATCTAACATTGAAGGTAAGTAATGATAAACCAAGTCTAATACCTTGACTGCAATAGTCACCTTTCTTGTATCAAGAAAATTGCAAAAGCAGTGAAATAATTGGATGGTACACAGGTGGCTAATGAAGTCATGGTATTAGATGAAGTTGACCAAATACATGTTGTTACTTGTGTAGACTACCTGAAAGGGATCAAGGGGTGTCAAGTTGGCAAACGCTATCACATGGTGATATTAGGTATGAGAACGTGCCCACTAATGTGAAAATTCATGATAAATTTTTTCTCTCTAGAATCTGGAGCTCGAGGGACCAAGAGAAGAATTGTTAAAACAGACTATGAAGATGATATTAGAGTAAGTTTTAAAACAAATTTTTTAGTCATATTTTGTATATTGTAGACTAGGTTTGGGAGGTGCTGGTCTATCAGAGACCAAGCTTATTTATGCATAAGATTATTGCGAGTTTTTTTACAAGAAATTTTTGTTTGTTTCAGCAAAATGGTCCTGGAGATGGTCTAGGTTTTGATATTGATCCAGAACTAGACCATACAATAACCCTGAACAGATTGACCAGTGAAGGGCAAGAGAAGAAATCCAAGATGGATGACACCTTCTGTTATCTTTGTAATAAAACCTTTACATCTCCACACGTAGCCGAGGTCCATTATAACAGTATTAAACATCTTAAACGTACACAGGCTAATCATAGTATGTATTCATTTATTTGTTCAAACATTGATTCATTCATTAGTCAAATCATTTATTCATCCAGTCATTTTCTGTCTTTAAATAACATGCGGATGTTTCTTTTGTCATATCCTTCAATTTATCTCTCTATCTATCTATCTTTGCAAAAAACATGTGGTGATTATTTGATTAATAGTGATTATTTATTGTTTTCAGCTGTAGATCCAGAGGTTGTTCCTAAAAACAATTCGTCGAATGGGAACTGTGTCCCAATCGAACCACCTCCAGACCCTAGTGCTACTCCACTACCTGTCAACTACCTAGACAATAAATCATGGGAGAATCCTGTTACAGACCCACCAAACTCATATCAAAGATTCCGTGAGCAGAAACCATTCTTGAACAACCAGCCTGCCACTGCTGGACATTTCTTCTGTACTTTCTGCAATTTAGGCTTGAATTCCCAGACTCAAATAGATGCTCATAGAGCAGGTTTGTGGTGATTTTTTCTAACGATACTGTCTTAAGGATAGTGATGTTATAAAAGACTTTAGTTTTAGTAGAATTGCAAGACGTCTGATTGAAAATGGGAATGATGCAAATTGATGCTATTAGTGTCCAAGATAGAAAGCCTCTTTAAGCTTAACCTTTGACCTTTTAATATTATTTAAAAAGCCCCAGATGTCCAATTGAAAATTGGAATGGTGCAACTTGATGTTATCAGTGTCCCTGATACACATAAGCCTCTGTACACTAATAAATCAAATTGGTTTATGAAATCTAATTGAAGTGGTAGTTAATGACTGTAAAATAATTTTGGTTTCAGGTGCCAGACATAAGAAGAATGTAACCAAAGCCAAGGGACAACAAGGTGCTATAACTTCTACTACTTCTAGTTGATTTGATAATCAATCCAGACTAGGTGAGGATCATCTAACCTCTAGTTCAACATCTTCACAATGTCAAACTTCATACTTATACCTTGACTACAATAACAAGAAATGAAGCGATTTGATCGGATTGCATGCTTGCGAATAAGATCAATTACAGGCCTCAACAGAGAGTCTATAAACATAATGTTTACAGCTTTTCTGTTGAGATCTCTGATTGGCTGTATTTGCTGGTATATGATCCAATCAAATTGCTGCATTCACAAACTTTTGTGATACAAGAAAGGTGACTAATGATGACAAAGTATAAGATGAAGTTATTAATAGCTGGACATTGTGAAGATGCCTGATAAATGGTGAGGACAAGATCTAGGTTTAACCTTGAGTCTACTCCATATAGCTGTACGAGGGTGTTGTATTACTGGCTAGACAAAGCCAGGCTTAAGTTTCATAAATCTTGTTAAGAAAACAAGCTTGCCATATTTAAATTTGAGCACGTGAATATATCCGCACATGAGTTTTTAGATATATGCCTATTTGTTATATGTGTGAATCAATGTAGAAATATTGTATATATGCGATATTTAATTGTGCAACGATTCCCAATCTTACTCTAGTGCTCGATGTTCGTTTCCTGTTTTTTCAGTGGGTGACTTCAGTGAATTGTCAACCCACAGTGATAGTGAATATATACTTGTTAATGTGATATTAAAACTCTGTTAAAGTTGTTCTGAATATGATTCTATATTCTCTCAGCAAAGTTTCCTTCATTGTACACATCTTGGAATCTCTGGGTTCATGGTCTTGTTCTATTTTCTTTAATCCACAATGAGAAAAATGAAATTTGGGTAATAACATATCAATTGTTATATACTCAGTCAGAAGTGGACCTAATGTCGTCTGCTCAAAAACGAAATAAACCCCCATTCCCCTCATGGCAATACACATTACTGTTGCTTCCATGCTGGTTCCTGCAACTAGTTCCAGGCCAATTCTTTTCTTGATCAGAAGCAAAGAAATTCATATCTCCCTGCTGATAATGGCGGTAAATAACAAGACGGAATCTTTCAAGATTGCCGATTTATTCTGATAATTAGAAATAACATTCATGATCAGACTACAAACAATAAATAAATAAACAATTATAAACTGGAGTTATTTCCCTTGAGTCATATCTTAAGATTTGTTCTTGGCTTTAATACATCAACCAATCAAATTAAGGCAATGAATACAATGAATATTCATGAAGTTCTAAATAAGACCAAATAAGGATGAATTAATAATGCATTATTAGATTTCAATATTGCATTGTTGTTATTTCATGATTTTTTTTTTATAAACGCTAAAGAAATCTTGCTATTATACTTTTTACGTATTTTATTCTCGTTTATGATTAATTTTAAGGCATTGTCCAATTACGAAAGTTAAAAAAAAGAAAATCTCTTATACCAAACTTAATTGAAGTGTCATACTAGGATCATTTCTTAGATAAAACGATGTTGCAAAAAAAAAAAGCGTAACTTGAATTGGAGAAAAATCCCAATTAATAAGAGACATTTAGATGGCGTTCGATTAGTGAGTCCTGAACAGGTTTCGTCTGTTTCAATTCTGGCCTCATCGAACATTACAGAACCGGATTATGTTCTGAACCATGTTCCAGCTTGCTTTATCAAACGTCCGGTTGATTCGATGAACCAGCAGAACTCACCAATCGAGCGGCCGCATAGAGTGAATGTGTCCTAATATAAAACGATTTTTTGCAATTAAAAGTAAAGTTCATCGAGACTTTGCATTGGAATTGAAAAAAAAACACGTGCATTTGAAAGTTTGTATTTGATGGACACCTTAGTAGCCACTGATGATATCTCCCAATATATCTGAACCATATCTTGAACTGTATCGTTTATTCCAACTTCCTCGCTTTCCTGGTGCCGTATTCTTACATCTAAAAATAGAAACATGCAACTAAAATTTCCCAGCTCTTGGGAACCTGGAGACCTGTCCGCATGTGCAAATCAGCCGTGGTCATTGCCAGGTATTTACTGAGTGCTTCATCATGCAGACTGATCTTCAGAATTATCAAATTCTTTGAGCGGTTGTAAATCGTTCAAATGCAATACAATTTTTGACCTAGTTTGATAATGCACGTGCATAAAAAAGGGTGTCTCTAATTCTACTATGCTATAAATCATGCCGTAAAAGCTCTATCTAAGGTATTGAAATATTTCTAGATATAAATAAACATTTCTATTAGTTTGTGATTAAAAGGGAGAGAAAACATGGGTGCTATAGCTTTAAATGAAAATTGGTATTACTTGATAAATGGGAAATCCGGAACAGGCTGACTCTGAAATGAGCGTTACTTTGCAGAATCCAAAATTAACTTGTAAATGTAAGCATACGATATCAAATTTTGAAATTCACTGTCGTACTGTGGTCGACTGCAAAAATGATCACAATTTCATCAATAGTTGATGGTGGTAGATGGTACCAGTTAAGAGTAAGCATGTTCCAGAATATGCAGGGGAGGTAAAAGGAAGGGCAAGGGTGTAAAATTGTGAAAAATGTACTCTACCTATATTCTTCAGGTAAACTTAACAAATAGAACAAACTGCAAACAAAATAAAGAGTCTAAAATCTACTATATGATGAAATAAAACAGGTGCTTGTGACGTCATGCTCTAACACAAGGGATGGGGCCTGTGTGGAATACTATATGTACTAGTTAAGATATAAGAATATCATTTCATTATACCCATTCCGAAACATAGGGTATAAATAAATAAATAAATAGACATTCTGAAAGTGTCGGCGAGTCGACAAAATCATCGTCTGTAAAGAATGTGTTTTTAAACCAACTTTCGATTTGAAATTTCGAAATGATATTCTGTATATTTGAAGACAAACCCACCAAAATACAAATCTAACAGAAAGACAAAGTGTGCTATCTGCTATATTTTGATGGAATTGTCAGGCAGCTAATGCTCAGAAAATGTATAAAAAAATCTAAATCTACTGTAGGTGTAAATCTAAGGTTCGAATATTGAATTAAATGAAAGGAAAATTTGTAGCATGCAGTAAAGTATATTGTAATATAAAACCAACCAATTCCTGTCGTAGAATTGGATCAAAATACTGTCTGTTATATCATTCTATACGATAGGCGTTTAGTGATTAACACGAAACAATCACATTATTTCTTAAACACGACGTTTCGACAAGATTACACTGGTCGTTATCAAGTGTACAAAATGTAACAAAAGAATTTGTCGTATTTTATAAGTGATATTTGATGATAATGAACTGTAGGAAAAATTGTCTTAATCTTTGAAAAGATGTCAGGATATTTTGACATTTCTTGTCGTAAAATAACATATATTCCCCTATGACAATGTTCTCGATTTAAGTAGCTTATTTTGACTTTGATTTTGACACCCCTGGAGATATTTAGATACAGGATTAATGTTTTTAACCAGAAATGAAAAAAAAAACGGATAATGTACCATCTCTTGACATTAAAAATCTAATAGATATAAGTATTTGTACTAAAAAACCCCTTTTTTATAAGTCCCTAAAAGTCCCACAGGCACTGATATCTAAGTATATTAAAGATAAAATGTTAGTGTTAAAAGGTTATGGTGATATCGATTAAAAATTTTAAATCATGACTTTGGTTTTGACAAAGAAGGTCTCGAGAGAAAGTCGAATTTTGACTGAAGTCTCATTTGGTTTTTCAAAGTTTCAATCTAGCTTGATGTGTTAAAGTAATCGCCATATAGAACTAAAGTTATATACTAAAGGGGGAATTGTATGAAATTTGGTATTCAAAATACTTGAAGAACTCTACTACAACCTTCATATTCTTTATCCAAGTCCCGCCCACCTCGTTTTTTTTTATTTTGTAATCCCTAAATTATAGACCTATAAATAAGAAAGTAAAAAAAAACTGCTTCAGATGTCGTCATCCTTGTATATGTCGTACTAAAAGCCCTCACTTGTCTTCGAAGAGAATATAGATTTGATTTAGGACTTTTTTATGACCTAATATTATCCCATTTACACTATATTAACATTCTTAATTGAATTTGTTTTGATTTAAAATAAGCAAATGTGACGTTTCGCAGATTGATATTGTTTTTATGGGCATTTTTAGAGACAGCATAATCTTCAAAAAAACTGAAACGTACTTCATAAAGAAAATTATCCGAAAAATATGTCATTTTTTTCTGGTCATGTTAGCTTTAAGAAGGGTATAAATTTTATTAGTGTATGTCAAACATGTTTTTATATGTGTTATATCGCCATAGCCGGATTCAACGATTTCAATGGTCGTTCTTATACGACAACGTTATTGAAGTCCGGCAATATCCAGCGATGTTATTTTACCAATGTCCGTCATAACCTCACGAGTTTGTAGGTTCGTCATTATCTTGTCTGTCATTATTTCGCAACGTTATGGAAGTCCCGCCATTATCTCCCGCCGTGTTCAGACAACGTTATCATGTTCGCCATTATCTCCCGCCGTTTTCAGACAACGTTATAATGTCCCGCCATTATCTCCCGCCGTTTTCAGAGAACGTTATCATGTTCGCCATTATCTCCCGCCGTTTTCAGACAACGTTATCATGTTCGTCATTATTTTCCTAAGACGCTATCAACGTCCGTGAACACCATCAACCTGTTTCCAATATTCAGTACTTACGGGGGTCTGGATCCTGGTTTGCATTCATTAAAACATTCAAAATATTCTTTACAACAATCTGCAGCAATGTTCACTGAAATTTGTTCTCTTTTACACGTAAATAAATTCACCATACACTTTGTTACACCTTGACACTTTGATTCTGATTGGCTAATGTATAAGATGGCAACCAATAATAAAGCCAGCAGTGTAAACCGTTTCATTCTGTAAAAGAATTAAGATCATTTTGTAAAGGTAATGTAAATTTTAAAAAAAGCTTCAAAGGCAATGAAACAACCGTTTTGTTCATTTTATTTTTCGGTAATTGATAAAAATATCGATCGTATTTCATTTTACTCATCTACTCCCCTTTCCCCCTCCCCTCCCCCTCCAAAAAGATTAAGTTGCATAGGAGTGGGCGACTGTTCATACCGTGCAGCATCGGAAAAAAATTCGTGCTTTTCAATTACTTTTAAGTTTACAGACAGATCTTTTCTCCTTTTCAAAAATGGACTTTTAGTTTTTAATTATTTTTTATATACAGCTTATAACAATCATTGGAAAGCAAAAAAAGAAAAATATTTGCCTGGAAAAGTAAATTGCGTTTAGATTGATGTAACACTAGCTTTTTGATCGAAATGAACATGAAACCCAATACAAATATAATCAGGGAATTATTCATTCGATTTAAATCTACTTGTCTTACTTTCCTTCGACATAGAAATTATTGTTTTTCAATAACCCAAAATTTAAAAAAAAAAACGAAAAAAAATAAAAACGACAATATTTGAACTCGTATGAATCTTGTAGTCGCGTGAGCATATTTATTGGCAACATGTTATTGTTATTACGGATGAGCCCACGTCAAAGTGAAACCGGAAGTAGATGGCCACTGTTCTCGGTAATGGTCAATTATCGCAACCGGAAGTAAATATTTGTTGTAGAATTAATTCATGTATATATCTTTAAATCTTGGTTGCTCCAATGTTAAGCTATAACGAACACCGTCTAATACCTTGAATACAATAGCCACCTTTTTTGTAACACGAAATACAGCGATTTGATAGGATAGCGAATACAGCTAATTATAGCCACTCTGATTGCTGTATTCGCTAGCGTACAATCCAATCAAATCGCTTGCGTGATACAAGATAGGTGTCTCTTGCAGTCAAGATATAAGACAAAGTGCGTAATAACTTGACATCGTGCAGGTTCACTTGCTAGGGTATAATCCAACGACATTGCTGCATTTGCAAACTTGCGTGATACAAGAAGTGTGTTTTTGTAGTCAAGATTTAAGATAAAGTGCGTTATAACTTGACATCGTAAAGATTGTGCCCCGTAATCACCTAAACCATTCAAGTTGAACCATGATTTTTTACATGTTCCACCGTGAGTGGATTATGGTGTATACTTTCTGACTCTGATGTAACGCTTATAGCTTTTGTACTCATTGAATAAGCAGTAACAAAAGGCTGAACAATACGATAAATAAATTTATTATTAAGCTTTACTATGCTGGAGTCATCATCCTAGACTATTACTTTTAACCCTGTTAATTATTTATCGGTTGGTTTTGTCTTTGGTCATACTTGCGATGTTTATGATCATTGTTCCTGTACGTTGATGGTTTCTAATGAGATAGAATGTTTGATAATCTTAAGGGTTCTAATTCTCTGGAGTCACAAACTGATAGATTTTATTATGATTTAAAATTCATGCTTTATTCCCAGGTTATTGTGCTTCGTTTATTTTCTGTGCGTTTTTTCACGCATTCTTTTATTCAACTTTAAACGCTTGTTTCAGATCGTTTCAGATCATTTCACAGATTTTAAGGGTTTTTTTTTATCTTGGAATGAACATACAATTTAAATTCTCAAACCTTTTAATCAATTCACTATTGTTTTATTGGTTTGTTCTCTCCTATTTGTCATATTTATTTTGTTGTTAGATACGTTAGATGAGGGGGCCGAGCAGGGGCCACAAAATTTTCCAGAGGGGCCACAGGCCAATTTTTTTCTCTATGCAAAGTGCAAAAAAAGTGGGGGCCAAGGTCTCTTTTGGTGGTGGGGGCGCCAGGTCGGGTATGCTTATTAACTTTTGATGAATCAAAAGAATCAGTTAAGTAACCCATTGAATATGAAAGAACGCAGCTATTCAATTCATTTTCAGAGTAATAGAGGACAAGTTGCTTTGAAACGGGTTTGATATGGTTCACATGATACGACTGCTTTTAAAATCATCTTAATAAAGTTAAATTGTTAAGTTTTCCTTTTCACAGTATATTCTCTTTCAAGTCTTATAAGAAAATTAAAATGTGGAAGTTTTCAGCCACCATGAATAATTTAGCATCAAAATATCATCAAACGCTAACTTAATTTTGAGATGAACAAATGAAATAATTCAAAAAGCCAAATATAAGTCTTTTAAATACCGAAACAATTATATTTTAATACCACATTCAAGTAGTATACAAAGGAAAGAAAGAAAGATTTATAAATTGCATTTACAAATGCATTTCCCGTTATCTTGACATCCCTCATCTTACCTTAAAACGAATTATGCATGAGGGACGTGAAAACCCACGGAAAGCTTTTAAGAATGGATTTATAATGTAAAGCTTGAGAAAACAGAATTCATTGTTCCACTTATTACTTTAATATTTAAAGAAAACTTCGTAGAATAAAGATAAGTTGAGTGCACCCTCTAAGTAAGAACATGATAGGCTACAGACTGTCCTTAATGTGGAATGAAATACATTGTCTGTGGTTCTTCAACCATAACTCATGGGTTGGCTGTAAAAGGTATACGAATTGGGCGTAATACTTCATTTCATTAGTCAATAGAGTTATCGAATCTAATGGGGCCCTCACCACATAGTGATCACCAGTTGCGTATGACTGCGAATAATGAAAGTGGCCATGAGTTCCGAACGCGACTTACAAGTCAGTTGCATGAAAGTTGCGTTCGATGTTTAAGACCGCTATTCTTTTTCGCAACCATACGCAACTGGTGATCGCTATAGTATAAAGACCACTTTAGTATTCTCAATAAAAAATAGGTATAAATAAATTCTAAAGCGATATATCTTTTTCTACAAACAATTAGCTTCGAATCCTTGTGATAAAGTCCAACAGTGTGTGTAAAATCTCCAGCCAATTGAGTGAATTAATAACGCCAGACACAGTCTCTGTCTTTAGTTTATCAATTCACCTCTCTGCACATTGTTATGTCAGTTGTCAAACGAATTTAAACCAAGGATTGTTCTTAGTCCTAATATTTAAATTGCCGTAAATCCCTGGACAGTGCTCTCTGACCGATTTTAAAACCCACAACGCTTTCAATTATTTATTAAAGTTTATGTTTTTGACACGGCGGAAAGTAATTAATATATCTATGAAAAAAATAAAAAAATAATAAAAAATTTAAATACAAACGATCCGAACCGCAAAACGAACCTCGAAATATATAATAACAGTTCAGTAATACATTAGTAGAAGCAAATGAACAATTCATGAGGAAGTATATCTATTATCCCGTATCAAGTTAAGCGACCTTATATCAATTTAAATGAAGAACAAAAGGAACCTTAAGCAAACCCCTTAAAGCAAGCATTATGAATCAAAACCGACATCTCAAATTGGATTCGTATGTTAATTAATTTTACATTAATGTTTGTCAAAAATATTCGCAAGCATAAATTTGTTTCCGTAATGATCATAATCTAGTTAAGTTTGGGGGATTTGAGGACATTTGGAAACGATTGAGGCTCTATCAGGGGAAATTAAACAAGATTCTCATCACAGTCCATATACATCCATAATAGTGCTTTATTTCTTTTTAATTCAGTTTGCATGTGCATAATATTCCGATTTGTACATATATTGAAATTGAGCATGGCGTGTTCCTGTTGTATTTGTTACGAAACCAGATAAACCTATTAGATTTTGTGTAGATTTTCAATTTAAAATTCGCTCTAACGAATTCGTGTTCATTATTTATGTCAAGGTAGGAAGATATCATATGTTAAAAATCAAATTTAGGTATCTTTCCAAAATTGACCTTAAGGGGGGTTATTGGCAGTTGAAATTTAAGATTGGTTATAATTCGCTTTAAACTCATATTAGACTATTGCGTAATGATATAGAGGAGTGTTTCTCTAACTTCCATATCATCTTTACAATGTCAAGCTCTTACGAACTTCGTCTTATACCTTGACTGCAATCTTTCTGTATCTTGGAAGATTTTTTGTGCCATATTTATACAATTTTCAGATTTTGTGACTTATGATTAAGTTGTATGGCCTTATTCTTTCTTGACTTCCTTCTGTATAAAGACTTCTTCCTTCTCAATGTTGGTCTATGCGAAGTCAGGTAGAAGTCGGAACCGACATGATGGATCGCTCACTTAAACTTGACTCAGTTAACAGCATTGTGTTTGTTTGGCCTATTTTTTTAATTCTAATTATCAGATTTGATTGATTCCTGCTCCATATTTCAAATTAAATGACTAGAGTTTGAGGTGGGACGTAAAACTCCATTTATTTCACTGACTTAATTGGGGAAAACTGTCGGAGATAGGTTTTTAATTGCGGAAGTGCTGTAGAAATGTATCGGTGCCTTCTGACACAAATTTGAGCATTTCGTCTAAAAAGCATGAGACAGCAAATTTCTTAGAAATGTACTAATTTTGAGCTTAAAGTATAAAAGCATACTCTGACAATTCTTGCGCCGCCATTGTTCAGCTCCCATTGGTAATTTAGTAACATGGTAAAACAAACATACATAGCGTGATAATGGTGTTTATATTGTTATAATTACTAGTAATTTATGAAGATCAAATCATTAAAATATTGTTCTCTTGAGATACCAGCAAACAATTAAAATCACAGCATTATTTTCATTATAACTCCCAATAATTAGCCTAGGGTCAATTTGTCGTGTAGTCTCACTAACTGAATTGTTATTGGCCTGTGCGGAACTTGTCGTGTAGTCTCACTAACTGAATTGTTATTGGCCTGTGAGGAACTTGTCGTGTAGTCTCACTAACTGGATTGTTATTGGTCTGTGAGGAACTTGTCGTGTAGTCTCACTAACTGGATTGTTATTAGTCTGTGAGGAACTTGTCGTGTAGTCTCACTAACTGAATTGTTATTGGTCTGTGATGAATTTGTCGTGTAGTCTCACTAACTGAATTGTTATTGGTCTGTGAGGAACTTGTCGTG